GTTAGTAATGCGTGAACTTCCTGTTAGTAATGCATGAACTTCCTGTTAGTAATGTGTAAACCTCCTGTTAGTAATGCGTGAACTTCCTGTTAGTAATGTGTAAACTTCCTGTTAGTAATGTGTAAACTTCCTGTTAGTAATGCGTGAACTTCCTGTTAGTAATGTGTAAACTTCCTGTTAGTAATGTGTAAACTTCCTGTTAGTAATGCATGAACTTCCTGTTAGTAATGTGTGAACTTCCTGTTAGCAATGCCTGAACTTCCTGTTAGCAATGTGTGAACTTCCTGTTAGTAATGCATGAACTTCCTGTTAGTAATGTGTGAACTTCCTGTTAGTAATGTGTAAACTTCCTGTTTGTAATGCGTGAACTTCCTGTTAGCAATGCGTGAACTTCCTGTTAGCAATGCATGAACTTCCTGTTTGTAGAGTACGTTCTCACCGCACTGATCTTCTTCCACTGGCGGTCCAGCTCAGCCTTCTCATTGGTCTCTTTGAATCGTCGGGTCTTTCTGCCTTCAGACATCTTGATACCGTACTGGAAGGCAGCCCTGCAGGACAAACAGCCTGTCAGTCCTGACTGAGGGTCAGACTCTCACCCTGTCAGTCCTGACTGAGGGTCAGACCCTCACCCTGTCAGTCCTGACTGAGGGTCAGACTCTCTGATCCTGTCAGTCCTGACTGAGGGTCAGACTCTCAGCCTGTCAGTCCTGACTGAGGGTCAGACTCTCTGATCCTGTCAGTCCTGACTGAGGGTCAGACTCTCTGATCCTGTCAGTCCTGACTGAGGGTCAGACTCTCAGCCTGTCAGTCCTGACTGAGGGTCAGACTCTCAGCCTGTCAGTCCTGACTGAGGGTCAGACTCTCAGCCTGTCAGTCCTGACTGAGGGTCAGACTCTCAGCCTGTCAGTCCTGACTGAGGGTCAGACCCTCAGCCTGTCAGTCCTGACTGAGGGTCAGACTCTCTGATCCTGTCAGTCCTGACTGAGGGTGAAGGACCTACTTGGGCAGAGCCTCCTTGTTGTTCATGTAATCAGAGTACTCCTCCTGGGTGTCGAAGTCCCAGCGACCCAGTGGACCTTTCTTGTTGCCCTGGAACAGAGACAGAACCTTGATGTCCTCCATGTCCTCCTGAGACTGAAGGTTCACCTGAACCTGGTCTGGACTCACCTGGTCCATCTTACTGTAGTCCACCTCCTCATCACTGTCCACTGCCAGGTCGTCCATCCTGTGGAGACACAATGACACAATGACACTGTTAGGAAGACACTGTGTGTGTCTGTGTGTTACTGTGTGTGTGTGTGTTACTGTGTGTGTGTGTTACTGTGTGTGTGTGTGTTACTGTGTGTGTGTGTTACTGTGTGTGTGTGTGTTACTGTGTGTGTGTCTGTGTGTTACTGTGTGTGTCTG